AGTGGCAGGTTGGAACCATAAAAAAGCCAGAAAATCTGACAGGCGCCCTTTAGATATGGTATAAAAAATTTTAAGTATCTTTTACAGAGTGGTATATTTAAAGCTACATAAACATTTATGGGTCAGGGTAAGTACTACATGGCTCATCTGCTGCACAGTGCCTGCATCAAAAATACCACTTTTTGCATATGTTCTTTTTTATATGAGCTCCACTCGATGTATATAAATTAATGCGGCACCGAACACGTACTGCCCCATAAGTAGGTCTGGGCACATGCATAGTTTTCTCTGCATTCAGGACCATATATTGCTTTATATTGGTTCCTCAACAAATATGGACATGTGTAACTATATTGAATATACCTCACAGTAACTCCACCGTTGCCTAAACTGGCATGTAAGTGTTATAATATAGTTTAGGGACATAATCTGCTTTTCCTTCCTGCTGCACAGCAGTATAATTTTTCTTTTCCTAATAACAAATCCACTTAATTGTTTGGAAACTGTAATTAAAACCCATAGGGGACAGCTCACTGAAGTGTTTACATTTCATGCTAGCTCAGCAATTTGCATCCTCTTCTAACACCCTATCAGGCTAATAGCAAATTAAAAATAGAAAACTGCTTGACCTCACTGTAGATTATAAACCAACACAGATCAGCTGAGCTAGTGGAAAACATATGCATCTTCAGAAATGATTTGTTCAGTGGATCTCGGCTATAACATCTCAATGCACATTGATCTCGGTGCAGGATCTGATCCCTTCAAATCTAGCAATCCTGATGATTGCTTAGACAATGACATAATATAAGGAACACAACCTATTTGAGTCCCAGCTTAAAGTGTAGTTCCGTTATTTGTTTGTTATATGTTCCCCTTCACACAACATATCTAAAATAATTTTTAAAAGTATGTTTGTCAACTTATTGATGTGTTTTTGGGTCACAGGAGTACATTAGTAAATGTACTCCTGTGACCTAAAAGAGAACTATAGCCAAATAAAGGTTTGGCTATAGTTCTTTTTTAAATGACTTACAGTAAACGCTGCTCTATGATGATTAAAAGTTATGGATTCCGGCAAAATCAGCTGGTCCCCTGAGCACTTGCCCTGATTTCCTATTTTAGGGTGGCTACTTTCCCTTGCAGGGTCCTATGGAGCCACCCTTGTGTGTGCTAGTAAGCTGTGTGTTCCTCCACAAACACACAGCAAGGCAAGTCACTTTCCTGCTCAATAGTGTCCCTTCTTCAAGCTGATAGTCAGCTCTGACATATCTTGTGATCTCGTACTGTGCAGAAAATTCTGGGAAGCCAATCTGAGAATTGGAAATATGATGACTGTAAGTGCTTGGGCAAAAATGTACAGAAGTAGCTAGTGAAAAAGTTTGAGAGTTTAATACTACTTGAAGATTTGCTATGTAATAGAGACCATTTAGTAATTCTAATTGTACCTACACAGTACCCTAAAAGTGTACCTTTTATTTAGAATAGCTTCTGAAAAATAGCAATGCGCTAACTATTATATGAGTATGCCTAGGTACTCGTGTGCCCACAGCCTCATAGCTGTATATCTTCAGTGTGAGATCAAAGGCACTGTTTTCTCAGGAAATCTCAGGAAATGTAAAGTGTGATTTGGTGATGTCACTACTGTGCTGCCCACTCTTCTTGTTGGCTGGAGACTTTGACATAATAGAAATGCAGTGCACAAAAGCATAGTAAGTAATGGAAAGAGATCAGCTGCTGGGAGTACACAGGCAATGCTGGAAACTAGTCACTTGCCCTCTGCATGCCTTCTTTGGGCACAGCTTCCAGAGTTTAGTTAAAGAAATGGCAATGCATGCACAACTTGCTTTAAAGCAGAACTAAACTCACATCCCCTTAAGCAATTCATGAGCTCCCTTACCGGCACCAACATCATCTTGCAGGCTTCTTATAGGTTTGGGATCTTTGACCATCTTGACTGACCAGACCAGGATGACATAACTCTCCCGCATTTGCACTTAAAGGAGAACTATGGGGTTAGGGCTTTTCCCCATAGTTTTCCTTAGTGTAACGGGAGGACACAAACTAGCGTCCTCCTGTCACCCTAAGCTCAGTATACCGCGAGCTACAGCCCGCTGTATATTCAGAAGCCGCAGTATACCACGAGCTACATCTCGCGGTATACTGAGACACCGCAGCTGAAGCGGATCCCGACAATTATGTCTGGATCCACCCAGCTGCGTGACTGACAGCTGGCTCAGCCTATCTAGAGGCAGAGCCAGCTGTGCCCGCCGCCTCCCCTGTCTATTCCGCTAGTCAGCGCTGGAGGATCGGAGCGGAGAGGGGGGAATCCAGCCACTCCCCTGTCACGGCAGATAGCTTTGACAGGATCGAGAACTGAGCGAACGCCAGTATGTGTTCGCTCACTTCCCAATCTACTGAGCCGACCTGTGATAGTCTCATTGTCACAGGTCGGCTAGAACTATGAGGTGAGTGAAAAGCACTCACCTCATAGTTCTCCTTCAAGTTGATTAATCCCACCACACGGCAGTGTATCCAGATGCGCAAATTAGTGTACACTGTAAAGAGTTTGCGAAAAAGAAGTTATTAATTTTTTATTGCAGAAGAGACATAGTATGTCAAGAAACTATTCTACTTTTAACTAAAGTTCTGCCTAAATGAATGCCTACTTCTTGGGCTCTGTGTTTTCAGCAAAGCATCAGTGAAATCTTCAGTGTGAAACCTTGAATGAAATCGAATGGGGGAATCACAATGCTGAATTAAATAGAAACTTTTGTGAAAGAGTTTCAGATGTGGAACAGGTTCACATGCACACAGGTGATAACTGTTAAAAAAGGGAATCAGCTGTCAAAAGAATCACTCATCAGTGGTAAATTGTGCATAGAAAACTCACTGACAAAAATGCTGTTAAGTTGACATTAAGAAGTGTAGCTAACATACAAACACAAACCAAAGATTACGTTTTAATAGCTCATGTATGTTACCAAAACTGATCCAAACAGTCTACTTCAAATATATAAACCTAGCAGAAATCTATTTTAATATAGATTTTTGCATTCACTAGTACATCTAATAGTACAATAGTACATCAGATAGTACATCTAAGCGGCAGTTCGCATGTATTCATACCATGTACTATTATATGAGGACTGCCGCTTACAGATGTGGCCGCTGTCACCCTGTCATTTACTTTAACAACAGCTACATCTGAACAGGACACCTGGGATTTCTGCTGCAGGAATGCCAGATCTCCCCTGTGTGAATGGGGATCAAGATCCCTATTTCGCATGCATACATACATGCATACATACATGCACACACACTATGACCAATTTAGACAACAGCCAATTATACTACCAGCATGTCTTTAGAGTGTGGGAGAAAAGCCACAGGGAGAACATGCAAACGCCATGCATATAGTGTTCTGGCTGTGATTCGAACCAAGGACCCCCAGTGATGCAAAGCAGAAGTGCGAACAACTAAGCCACCGGTTATGAACACCTTATGGTCACCTTATACAATAGGAACAAAAGGGAAATTGAATGTGCGGGCAGCTAAAACAATTGGCTTAATGTGGTGTCATGCTTTGGGTGGCTTCAGCAAAATATATTCTTTTGTAATTAAATGATTTATTCACTAATGGCCTGGTAAAGTAGATGTGCAGTTAAAGTAGATATCTAACTATTTCTACCTCTTTTCTAATCTTGGACAAACCATTTGAAACAAAAGAAGTCACACATTTTGAGGTCAGTAGGTTGAGCCTAAGGACCCTCCCCTCTCTACAAAACACCATGGTTATAATCATACCCTTTCCACTTAGGAGCTGTATTAAGTCTCTAGTTTTTGTTTTTGTATAGCACAGACTTTTTTTTTCTGTCTTTCGTTGGGAAGATCTCCTTATACTGCTTGAACACAACATGAAGTAAGAGAAATTCTACACTAATGCAGGCCATACACTGCTCTATTTTTCTCATTCAACCCGCAGGCTGAATTAAAAAAATAGAGCAGATTCTTCCATCAACACTACGAGCGTGTCGATCGAGGAATCCCCGTTGTTTCTTTTATATTCTTGAAGCAGCCGCCGGCCACTGTCAGAATACCTGAACTGCCTAAAGAGTAGGCTGCCGGCTCTAGTCGTGCAAAGGTTTTCCAACTGGCTCCTCCGATCAGCTCATCAAGGGATGCAAGCTGAAATGGTGCCGACAGCAAATTTTCTAAATTCGCACAGTATATGGCCACCTTAAGTGAGCAGAATTCCCCTTTTAGACAATTGTCACTTAAACAGGTGTCCATATTAGAAGACTTGCACTCGCCTCTTCGGATGACAACTGAAGATTTTGGATTTCCCACAAATTTCTGATTCAGTGATGATGGTCCAGGAGACCAGGAGAAATAAGGAAGGGGAATTTCTACAATAGGGACACAGCAAGACAAATTTTGCAAGGGTGCTTTTGGCTTTACAAACACTTACAATTTGCTGGTACTTTTATACTGACTCTTTTTTTTCTGTAGATCCCACCCAGACTGGTATATGGGTGGTTTGAAACACCAAATTACCTCTTATAATTTCCAGGGACTCGCCCTTGAGGTGCACAGCTCTTACATCCCACCCTCTTTTTTTCTAAACTGAACTACTGTGCATTCTCTGTTGCATAAAATAAAAAAATGTGATGATGGCACCATATCTAAGTGAGACCACAACAGATGGGAATTTGGGTATACATTTAGCCTCTAGAACAGGGGTGTGCAACTCTGGCCCTCCAGCTGTTTTGGAACTACCAGTCTCATGAGGCATTGCAAGACTGACAGTTACAGGTATGCCAACCCCTGCTCTAGACTTATAAACATATATCTCATGCTGGAGATACAACCCATCATCATCATCCATCTAAAACTAATACTGCAGTTTTGGGTGGACCGGCCATGACACCTGTCTGACTTTGCTATGCTGGGTATATGCAAGGTAATGCTAATATAATGTTCACTTGTTTTTCTTGCAGGATCCACGTAGCCGACACAAGTTCAAAGTTCACAGCTACAGCAGCCCCACCTTCTGCGATCATTGTGGTTCTCTTCTTTATGGGATGGTTCACCAGGGAATGAAATGTGCTTGTAAGTAACTCAGCAGCATGGAACACCTGAGATCTTTGATGCGTATGCTTATGTAGCTGTAACTGGCTTTGAACATTCACAGCACCTCTGTTCTCTTTTACAAGAATGAAAACCCAAATGATAAAATGTGGCTCATATACATTCAATGTGAATAATATTTACAGACAAATTTTAAAACACCTAAGGGTATATTTTTAAAGCAGATCATTTGACATTCAGCAAACATTCTCTGCTACTGAATCTTCCAGGTGCATGTGTTTTTAAATGGCAGTGTCTAATTTTCCACCACAGAATGTATGGTAAAAGTAATGCTCACTGCTTTATAAGTATACTTCTTAAGGTTCATCTCTAGGCAAAACTTTAATTATTTTTGTTTTGTTTTGTATAGTTGTGGATAGAGTGGAGGTGAGTTAGTCCCTCTGTTTTCTTGCTATCTGTGTCCCAACTGGGGAGATTTAACCCTTGTTTTGTACTGATGAGCATTGTCACAGAGAAAGAAAATTAGGGGAAATCCAAAATTTTAGAGTTGTCCCCAGAATAAGAGATAAGAGGACATCTTACAATGCAGACACCTGTTTATGGGACAGTATCTTAGAGGGGAAATCTCCTCATTTTGGCTGATTTCCACTAACATCCTGTTGCACATTTGGGAGAGGAAGTGAAGGGAAACTTCCCTAATTATACATGGACAGCAAAAACCCTTTCCAACTCTTCTCAAAAATAAAAACATAGTTTTTGCTAATTAATAAGCAGAATAACTGTTACGATGTCCTTCTCTGCTCCTCCCAACTGCTAAATTCCACATCTAAGATTATAGTGGACTATTGATACGCAATACTGTCCAACAACCCCTAAATTATAATGCGTCATGAAAGTAGCTTAAGATTGATACCAAACTTGGTGGATATATGAATTATGATCAGACCAGGAGGGTAAATACGGCTTGTTAAGGCTTTGACCATCATATCTGGTCCCTTCTTGGTACGTATGTTTTTGTCATAATGAAACAATTGTCACTGTCCAATTCCAAGTTATGAAATTGGGTTGCTATTGTAACTCTGTTTTATGACTACGTGTTTCTCCGAGGTCACCTGGGTCGTTACCATGTCCTGTGTGTTGACCTAAAAAAAACTCACAACAGGGCGCAAAACTAGTAGGGTGGATGATTAGACATTGATATTGTCAAGGTGTACTAGGAAATTGTGTAAAAAAGGGGAGTTTACACTTACGTTTGGATGTGGGGACCAGGAGAGGGGCGGCCTCGCAAGAAGATCGAGTGGTCCAGGGTCAAAGGCTGAAGGAGTTGTGAGAATGATCGGCTGCTGTTGGAGATTGAAGAGCTGTTAGCCGGAGGGGAAGGCGAGGCGGTACTGAGGCAGTGCTGGGTGCTGTGACCGCGTTCGTGTCACTCTCATATGGACCGGAGTGGGGGCAGTTTGTGAGCGGAATACTAAGTATGACTCACTGGTGCTATGGCTGAACAAACACCTGTCTCTGCAGCTGTCAGGACGGTGATTGAACCAGAGAGCAGTCTTGTCCCTTAGAGTTCCCGTGAGAGCGGCACATGTGGCGTCTGGCCGTGTGGGAGAAAGCTATAGTCGGTAGTCTGCTCTGTAGGTCAGGGATGGAGGAAGGACTCGGAAAACACTGGTGTGTTTGGGCAAGCACAGGTCCTCCCACTGTTTTCCAGGGCAGCACACTACGTAGCTCCAATTCCTTTTGCGAGAGCACAACTGAAGGCAACCCAAGATCACTTCAGCTGAATGAAAGGCTGCATTTGTTCTAAGCTGGGGAAGAAGAGAATTGCATACTTAATATTAATTAGCTCAAACTTCCTTACCATCACACCTGACACGGGAATCCTTAATCGCACCTAAAATATAGGTGTGAATGGAGCCTAAAGGTGCCCATACACCTTACGATTATCGGACAAAAACTTTTCTTCCGATGATCGAATAGTCGTACGATTTTCGTACGGCAACCCCCTCCTACCCCGATGATCGCAAGATTAATTTAGCTGTAATTAACGAAAAGCACCTGGAAGAAATGCGGTCATTGATTTGCTGTATTTTCGTTAGCGCAAGTGCAGTGTAGATCGTACGACTTTTGATGGACGGAAACGCCAGCAACCTTAAGAAAATCGTACGATCTAGCAAAGTTTTCAAACATGCTTGACCGTCAAAAGTCGTACGATTGTACAGTACTGTCGGTCGGACACTGCAATGCACACATACGATTATCGGCCAAAAAGTCGATCGCATACGAAAATCGCCCGATAATCGTAAGGTGTATGGGCACCTTTAGAGTACAGATAAAATCACACAAAATCAAATATTTTAAATCTTTACTTGCAGAGTTTGTTTTTTTCATATATTTGTTATGCACCTGCAATGTGCCTTTGAACTCTCTGAGGCCTCATCTACATGGCAATGAAAATGCATGAGCCCAGGTGCATTTGGAGCTAATTTCTAAATACACCTAGAAGCATGTAATGCTGAATGCACACCCAGGTGTTTAGCAGCGTCTAGGTGTATTCAGTATAGCAGATTCTCAGATTACACAAATAAGAATTTTTTGTGTCCAGGGACGATTTAGCCTGGTTTTATGCAGCTTGCACGCAGGAAGGATCTTGGAAGCATAACAGTTGTTTATAGTTCCAGATAACTTATTTTGTGTTTAACGCAGGGAGCCTGTGTGCATAAAGCCTAAAACATTTATCTACTCCAGGAGAGTCAATTCTCTGGTACAGCCCTCTCCCTTCTTGCATGTCATAACCCTCTCCTCTTCTGAGAATGTTTTATTACTGTCTGCTGGCCTGGCTCCTTCATCCCTTCTTTCAGCTTCCTACATAACCATATATGTAGCAGCCAGGAAACGAGGGGGAATACTATAGAATGGGGATTTTACAGGTAAATAACATGCAAAAAATGCATTAAATGCACATATAATATTATAGGATTATTGTTGACATGAATAGTCTGGAGACAGGCGGGGTGATTTACTAACCTAAACACACGCACGCACCAGGTGCCTGTGATTTTCACACAGCAAAACGTATTTATCAACCAAAAAGTCTCTAAAAGCATATTTCCACTAATGCCATATATGGAAAAATCATGCGCATGATGCATATATAATGCTGCTTCACAGTTAAGACAAAAATGGTTAGCTCATGCATTTACATTCCTGCATTCATCAACGCAAGCAACACAACATAGAGCTAATTTACACAACATCACCTTGCAAATCATGCTTGGCTTTCCAGAACACACCTGCTGGGTGTGTACACACTACAAAGGTGTTTAGATTCCACCCATAGATCATGCTGGGAGGGAACACACTACAGAGGTGTATACATGTTTGTGGTGTGTTTATAAGGTTAGTAAATCAACCCCAGGGTCTCTTCAAGAGAATTTTGCCTTAGGTAATTTCATCTATTACTGTACATTTGTTTACGGGTCCTCAAAACTGTCTTTCTTGTTTATGGCATTACTTTAATATTAAAATAAATGTTTTTCACAACTGGGTTAATATGCCTAATCCAGTCTAGCATCAGGGCTGTGGAAAACATTTTACAATAAAGGACCATTACATTCTTTGCTGCTTTGATCAGATCTATTGTGATATTTTTATATCTTTTTGTTTTTGTGGGAAATAGATGCAACAGTAAGACTTAGGTGGTCAAATGTAAAAATGTGTCATCACAATTTTGAAGTAGGACCCCTGAATCAACATTCAGAAAGTTAAAAATAAAATTTACTTTGTATCACCACCAGGGCCTGGGCGCATCTTGGGAAAAAAGTCAGTGTAGTTAAATACACATATGTTGCTTGGCGATTATTTACACACTAAGTGCAAGTGATCATTTGTTGCTTGATGTGGAACAATTTTACTGTTACCCTTTTTTCATGCTTGTTTAAATGCTGGTTCCTTTTTATGTTCTCCTTAGCAAAGGAAATGGGTATATGAGGTGAAATGATGTACTAAGCCTGTATAAATACAAAGATTCACTATCACATTTAAGGCCTTTGTAGTTGGTGATTGAGCTGTTGGTGACATCTGTTTGACATCTGTTTGAGAGGCTTCTCAGATCATTCAAATGCACCTGCCAATGATTTCTGATCTGCAGTTTACCACCTTCTGATCTGCTTCCAACCCGGTTTGCATCCTCTTGCAAAACACACTTGATGTGAACAAAGCCTGTCGACACAGGCTCTAAATTTTAGTTTTTCAGTATAACCATTCACATCCAAAGTTTCACATCCCCAAAAAATAGCTGTTGATTAGTAGCAGTCTGCCATTATTATAAGAACATCCATGGCTGCCAAGGGTAACACTGATTTAACCTCATTTTAAGTTAATTTTTTTTATGTTATCAGCCATTTGGAATCAGGGCAAAATTTTCACAAATGCTTCCATGCCTTTATAGAACTAAAGGGGTAGTTGGAGACGACAGGCCTCTTGTACTGCTCACCACTAACTGGCAAACTGGGTCGCTCACATTTTTAGTGGAAGTAGAAAACATCTTTATGTCATAAGAAGAACATAGAGGCTGCCATGGCTGATCTTCCCTTCTAGGAAAGTTAGTTACCTGGCTGTCATACTGACCCTCTTGCTTCAATACTTTGTCACTGTTCTGGAACATGTAAGTATAACTAACAACGGACGACCGAAATCAAGGCAGAATAATAACAATAAAAATAGTGGGGAACAACAAGGTAGTAAACTTTTGTCCCACAAAAAGAGAGGAATTAAATGTATGTACACCAACGAGGATGTCTGACCTTATTCTGAATTCTCTGTGTTCCTGTTTTGGGTTAGTGACCTAGAAAGTATTGAAGCTTGGGAATCATGCAACCAGCACTTTTTTTGAAGGTCTACAACAGCAGTGTAAGTACTTCCTTCTCCAGATGATTCAAGTCCCAATGCAGAGTATCCAAACTATTTCCTGTCAACCACAATGTCTTTATTTCCAGAAATTGGAAGCTATAATCCTAGGTTTGATCTATAGTGCCACCATCTAGTGTATCTTATACCGGTCACTGTTAGTTCCATTACTTATGCACAAATACACTTTAAAGTACAAGCCCTAACAATGAGCATCTCTTATTTATCCCATGTTGGCCTGATATAACAAAATGTGTTTAATGATGTATGTATCTGTTTTACAAGAGCAAAAACTGTCAGACTTTCAGAGCTGCCCTGTGTCCTCTGCACATTTCCTGTGTTATCGCAGAGTTTGTTATCCCTCCCAGTCCTTGTCTTGGGACTACAAGTCAACTAGTGCCCATGCTTAGAAGTGAAGACAGTTGGCGTGGTTCAGGAGTTTAGTAGTAGAGGTTGGAATAGGCAGGGCTGACACCACTCAGCCCACAATAGAAAATTGAGAGCTGACTGCATTCTGATTTTTCTGTTATTGAAAGCTCTTTAAAGGGATAAAACATGAGTAAATGTGTGTGTGTGTATTGCAGGTATACCCTGCTTATTTATTTTTTTATTTTTTGCCATGATATTCACTTTATTCTGCAAACAACATTGAGGTGCGGGTGTTGCCATTTCTAAAGGTCAATATAACTGCTGGGCTCACCCTGGTTTTAATATATCGTGTTGCTGGTAGCTTTGTTATAATTTAAAACCCAGCTTGATGGACTTAGTAAAAATAATCTATAAATAAATTAAGAAAAAAACAATAAACTGATTAACTACATAGAGCTTAGAATTTGTCATTGAAATCGGTCTGAGTTTACGTAACCCAGTTATACTTTATTTTTTTGTGAAATACCTTTTATGCAATGTAGTTATTAATGCTTTATTACAGGCTGTGAAATGAATGTACACAAACGCTGTGTCCAGAGCGTGCCAAGTTTATGTGGGGTGGACCATACTGAGCGCAGAGGTCGGATGCAAATAAAGATTGAGGCAATTAATGATGAAGAGTTTCAGGTAACAGGTATGTGACAAAACACTTTTTTTTTCAAGTCCTGTCTCTTGTAATAATGAAATATTCTGTTACAATAGTTATCTTTGTACTAGTTCCTTTGCTTTCCCTGCATCACAGTGAACCGTAGAAGACACGCTTTTCTAACAAAGCATGGTTTAGAAGACCGTGTTGAAGGCTGGTAATGATGCTTCTAAATTGTATGTGACACCCTATGGAGTTCAGATCTGTCAGTTAAAATATTCCGTGGTATATGCCACATTGATCTTGTTATTATCTTTTAGACTTCCAGGTGTTTGTTAATTAGCAGAGGTTAGTGTAACTGTCTGATTCTCTTTACATCATCAAAGGAGTGAAAAAGTTGCACACTGAAGTGGAGTTTAGTTACACAAACTTGAATTAGCTGGCTATTACCAAGGCTATAGTAATCAGTAGTTGGGAACTTGTTTTTAGGTCTCCCATATTCTTAAGCATAATCTCATATGACATTTATAGGTGTTTTTTGCAGTAGATGCATTGTGTGTTGGTGTACACTATTCCTTTTACAAAAATATGGACATGAATGTACTTGTGGCTGCTAACAGCTTGTTCTTTTTTGACAACTAAGTACATAAAAGGGCAGTAAAAAGGTATATATGGTGCATGCTCTAATGGGAATCAGGCACTACAGCTTGAACCACTGATAAAACTGATTAAAAATCATCCGTGGCTTGGTCAGTTAACCTTGGTAAACAAAAAAGATAGATGTTAAGGAACACAGTGTTTCACATGAAGGGTCTAATCTGGAAGGGTATGCAGAGGTTGCAGCTCTTTTCAAATTAAGTGTCCTCCTCCCTTGTACTAACCTAAGATTCTGATGACCTTTGCTTGCAAAGGGCCCTTCCCTGACCCCTTATGTCAGTTGCAGCCATCAAGAACTACAGTCTGTTTAATGGAAATAACAGCACTCGTATCCCAAATATACTGACCTTTCAAGACCAGCTCACCAGAATAATATGAACCTTGCAAATTGCTTGTTTAGGTAACAGCCACCACATTTATACCCTCAAGATTCAAGATTTTTCCAGGAGTCCACCTCCAAATTTTTTTTCTTTTAGGGAATGAGGACTGTGTACACGAACATTTTTGGGTGTTCTTTCACTGCTTTTATATACCTTTTGGTATTAGTAGTACAATACCTCCTATGAAAACGTTTCATGTTCTGTAAAGTCTTTGCAGCATAAGCACCTGTAGAATGTTTGAAATAGCATTAAGAACCTCACAAGGATATTGTTTTATAAAGCTTGGCGAACTAAGAGATATAAACTCATGCATCATAGAGTTTATTAAGAACCTGGTAAAACACTGAGAGGGCATTTATCAAATAAATTAGCAACACAATGAGATGCAAATCAGTCTGCCTGTCATTAATAATTTATTGCAAATGTCTGAGACAAATTACGAACTAAAGATTAAGCAGATTTTTACTCCAAAAAAGATAATTAAGAAGTGGTCAGGGGCAGGTTTTTTCCATCAAAGTAATACCTAAAGGTGGCCATACACTCTACAACCATCCCAAGACCTTAGTCTTGCGATGGTTGTACAGGGATTAAAAAAACGTACGATCTGCCTATCTTGGACAGGCAGATCGTACTTGCAATCATCGCAAGCCCGCCCCGCTGAGGGGCGGGCTTGCGATGATCGAGAGGGCGATCTGCCTGTCCAAGATAGGCAGATCGTACGTTTTTTTAATCCCTGTACAACCATCGCAAGACTAAGGTCTTGCGATGGTTGTACAGGGATTAAAAAAACGTACGATCTGCCTATCTTGGACAGGCAGATCGTACTTGCAATCATCGCAAGCCCGCCCCGCTGAGGGGCGGGCTTGCGATGACTGCAATGCACACCGGCACCGTTCGGCAGTTGTCGAACAAGCACGCCACTAACCCAGCCTGCTTGTTCGACAGAAGACGTGCGATCGTACAGTAGAAACGGTCGCATGCCTTCCATACACTTTGTGATTATCGTAAGATCGCGGGATTTCCCGCGATTATCGTACTATAATCGTAAAGTGTTTGGGCACCTTTAGAACAGCAAAAGGAAGAAATTAGGAATCAAGTTGAACTATTTTATAGCAAGTATGTCTCATAATCTCTCACTGGTCCTGTTTAGCATTTTCTTGCTGGGTGACAGAATTTTTACCCCAGAAAAAAAAAAGGTTATCTCATGTTTAGTAGGAATGAGCAAATGAGTTCAGTTCACTGGTAAAGTCTGAAAATTGAGAATCTAAATCCAAACCCTATTGAAGTCTATGGTAGTGGTGGTTGTGTTGGTGGGTGGGGGTGCAATCTTGAAAATCAGCTCTGCCCATTTTCAAAGCTAATTTGCAAGGGATTGTCTATAAGTCCTAGAGTAAACTGTCCTAATGCGTGTATCAACACAACTCATTATTTTTTCTGTCCCAGCTAAGCACATTGTCCGTTCGGCTGCTGGGATTCTTTCCTTTATACTGTATTTTGATGGGTTGGCACATAACAAAGCTCCCACTGTTGGCAATTCTAAGCCACCTGATCTAGATTTGGTGCATTATTGGTAGTCGGTTGTTATAGCTGCAAACATTTGCATAAGGCCTCGTTCACACCAGATTCAGTGCATTCCGGCCCGATTCTGTCCAGAATGCACTGCCTCGCATTGCGACCGTCTCGATTTTTTGTGTGGCAGGAGGGGGCACCGTATCCACGCCCTCCTGCCGAAATGCGATTGGCCGCACATTATGCGATCGGCCGCACAAGGCACATTATGCCTGCGGTCCGGTGCGATCAAAATAGTGCTTGCAGCATTCTGAACGCACCGGACCGCAGGCATAATGTGCCTTGCGATCCTGTGCGGCCGGAGGGCATGGCTACAATGCCATTCACTTCAATGAAGCACCACACCCCCTGACGGGGGCCACCACCCCCCTTTTGCGGCCGGCATACAAAAAGCGAGCCGGCCGCAATGCGAGGCAGTGCGTTCTGGCCAGAATTGGGCTGGAATGCACTGCCTCCGGTGTGACTGAGCCCTTAGACTGCCGTTGCTGAAAATGGGTTGGATTCACTGTGAAACCATGCTCAACCTGAACCCAAAGGCCATCCATAATGTTCAGCACAAAGGGGATGCAAGTGGATTAAATGGGAGCCTCATTTATTTTTAAAATGAAAACAAAACTAGAAAAATAATAAATGATGCTGTTTGTCAGAAAACAAACACAACATTTGGGTCACCACATATAATTGATCACCATTGGAGACGGCATAATGGATTAAATGATTAAATCCTATAAGCTGCCCTGCAGCCATCCTTCTAGTTGTGAAATACAGGCCATGTCTTTACAATTAACGATATGACATGTTGGACTCATCTTAAAACACATAGATTGACAGGCTGATTTTGTAAGCATGGCAATCGCTCTTGGCAAACGCTTTTAAATGACATGTTGTATTTATCATGATCAGTTTTTGTAAACCTGACCAGTACCTTCTATTTCATAGGAAGTCATTAAAGCGCACCTGTATTTTTCTATTTCCAAGGATTTTAGTGTATTTTAGAACATTTGTGTGAATTCCGTCCCATGGATGAGTTAAATCTCATTTTGCTAATCAGCATTATTAACCCCTTCATGACTGAGCTTGTTTTTAGTTTCTGTTCGTAAATGACTGACACACTTTTGAAATTTTTGCTGTGTGATTCTTCCACGTTAGTAATATACTTTCTTACAAAGTGCACCCACACATATCATATATTTTTTTTTTTGGAGGACAGATAGGGCTACATATTTATATCACATATGTGTGTCTAACGCTTCACGTAGGACAAATAAAATATAAAAAAAAGAGGAAAAAACGTTAAAAAAACAGTTTTGATTTGTAGTATTTTTTACAAAACCAGCACAGCTAAAAAAAAAAAATTCAATAAATACATTCATTTATTTGTGCTTTATTTTTTTTTCTTTACACTTTTCACTATTTTTTATAAACTTTTAAAATGTTTATTTTATTTATTTAATTATATCAAGCAGTCATTGTGAATTCATCTCACTATTACTGCTTGATAAATTAATATTTTTTTGGTTATTTTTTTGGTTATTATTAGGCTGTTTCAAACTTCAGAACAGCCAATAATAAGTTAGTGACACTGATCCTGCAGCAGTTCAGGATTCAGCTGTCACTAAATGTTTTCTGAACGTTGCAACAACAATCAGAAAACTGAAACATTCTTCTTTCAGGAATAGATACATTATGTATCTATTCCTGAAAGTGAAAAAAAAAAGCCAGTATACGATCCGAGAGAGATATCTCTAGATCTATACGAGCTATCAGAATGCCGGCTTTTGCCGGCATGTTTGCCCGCTCTGCTTGGACTCTCAGACACCCGATATTAAGGTATCAGGTGTCTGAAAAAGGTTAACCCTTTCATTAATGAATGCCTCTATACTGAGAATCAGCGGTTACCAGCCCTCTAATGCAGCAAATAACTCGTCACGTACAGTGTACGTGACGAGTCATTTGGTCCCTTTGTGGCGGAACGTACAGTGTACGTCTCCCGTCACGAAGGGGTTAAAGAAAAACAATAGCCCACCTTGCCATTAAAACCTGCATTTAGCCTGCCGAGTTTCATAAAAGGCGCACAATAAGCCTCTCATTGTGATTAGTGCCATAGGTTGTACTCTACTTTGTTAAATAAAAACGAATTGGAAACTGATGAGAGATAACAAGCTACTGAGTAGTTCAAATATTTGAATTAAAGTGAAAGGAAATTCTCCCTCCCTCCCCCCCAAAAAAAGAAAAGGCTCTTCAGAACTTTTTTTTCAATAACGTGCTAGTATGCACAGCATATTAGCTCATTATGGCAGTCAGGGCCGGATTTACTCTCTCTGCTGCCTGAAGGCTAGGTTCCTCAATGCACCCCCCTGTATGCAGGCTGAATACAAGTGTTCTCTGCAACATTGCCAAGATCACTTGTACAAAATAAGCGGTGACTTCCCTGCTGTACAT